AAGGGGTGTAATACAGTTAATATCCCTATCTCAGCTATAATTTGGCAGGATTTTTATACTAATTTATTTGCCAGGATCATAAAAAAAAAGATTACTGAGTTTTTGATCTCTGATAATCTTCCTCCTCAGCCACCAGTATGAGTGACAGAAATTAAACACATTTACTGAAGTCTAATAAGACACCTGGTGAAAATTTGCTATCCCCAGAACTCTTTAGGACTCATACTGACTGGTGGACTCCACTGCTGGCAGGCTGTTTACGTATATAGACAACACTGACCTCATTCCAGGAGGCTGGATACTATCTACCATATTTCCCATATATACAAAAGGAGACAAGGAAGACTTCCAAAATTACACATCCATGAGCCTTATAGATATAACAGCTAAGATGTATGCAAGTTATCTCTTGAAGAAAATAGAGGATTGGGCAAAGAATGTATTAGTGGAAGACCAGGCTAGATTCAGATCTGGATATTCCACAATAGACAACTGCTTTGTTCTGCACCATCTGCAGCATTTGCTTAACAGCCACTATAAAAAAACTTGACAACTCGGCATGGTCATATGGTGACCTGCTTAACAACCACCATGACATAATCCCAGGATTAATTACAGTTGTAAATCAAAGATTACCTGTATTCTTTTATCTTTATCCTATTTTACTTACCATATATTAGTCTATTTTATTTCACCCCAGGCTATTTCATCATATCATACCTTATCTCATGTTATTATATTTTAATGTGGCTGATGCTCATGCTTTGATATGGTAAACTAATCAGTAAAGTGTACTACTACTAGTATTTGTCTGAAATGGTATAGGGTCTCCTGCTTGATCAGGGGGTTAGACCAGAAGACCTCCAAGGTCCATCTCAACTCTGTTATTCTGTTACTCTTCCAATCCTGAAATTCACTGAGTCATCACAGATTGAAAGACAAAACTGTACTAAAAAACTCAGCACTGAAATGGGACTGGGAAGAGTGGCGAGGATTATTTGTATGGTAGAAGAATCATGTCCGTTGCCTTACATTTTTTTCAAATTATGTGTATGTGTACGCACAGTATGTCCTTATGTCCATGTGTAATCTTATTCTAGTTTTCCAAGTGCGTAAATTAATGCAACACAAATAAAAATAGTATATCTTCATTGGAGGAGACATGGAAGTTATGATGTTCAGAAAACAATAGAGTATTATATATTTTCCTCATATTTCAGGAGCATCCTTCATAAGGTATGCAGAAAATATTACAATTAAGATAAATTGTATGTTTACAACATGGAAAAAGGGGAAGGCCATTCAAGTAAAATCACAATAGTTAGCATTGTTCTTCACATGCTAGAAATACCTTGAAACGGAATTAATTAGCATCAGATAATGGAGGAAAGATGAAATAGTTGCCCCTTCCCAAGGAATACTTAAAAAAAAGCAATGAAGAATTTTTGAATTGAGATCCACTCGAATAACTCTGCCCCTCTGCCGAAAGTAAGCAGAGGTTTTGGCTCTAAACTGGGGTGGCACATCCCCTATGGTCTTTCCTACTAAGGGGTTTACATTATTAAGTATATTCACCATGAAAAGAACAATCATTTGTGCATCAAGCTACTTTAATTTTCTAATTTCTAGTACTGTGCAGTAATATGAGAAAAATTCTTTTCGGAAATGTAAAGCAAGTAGACAAATTAATGCAGAGATGTTGCAGTTTACTTTCTGTAAACTCCATCTTGCACCATAAACACTTTAAGGATTGGAAGACATCTTGGAAATAGTAGGGGAGGGGGGAATCTAGTTTAGTGGCCAAGAAAGTTTCAAATAACAAACCCATGTTTAATTATATCACTTGAGACTACATATAAGACTATGCATAATTTAACACACCAATATAACTCATACAATCAATGCTTCTGGCACAGAATTCTAGGTATCAAGGAGGAGGCCTCTAGGCTTGTTGCCACCTGATATACCAGACTTCTATATATACAGATTCACTCTGTAGGGGAGAGGGAGAGAAAACATTTATATATGATTGTCATTTAAGTGATAAGCTGTGAAAATCAAGCCAGAAGTCTAAGAAAAATCCCTCATATATATAACAAATCCTGATGATTTGTCTTGTAAAATTCTTTTGTTTTGAAATAAATAAAAAGTAAATTGGCAGAAGGTGGCAGTTCTTGAGATATCTTTTATAATATAGATGAAGAATAGCAATAAAACTTGGAAGAATTAATTGGTTTATCAGTGAAGACAAGATAACCTTGGGTAAGAAGTAAGAAAAAACTCAAAGAACTTGAATGGAGTGAAATTGTTTTTAAAATATTAAATGTGGTTCCATTGTGGACCATAAACAACTTGATTTTATGTCAACCAGAAAGATTTCTTGAGATAGTTAGTCTCTCTATGATTTTCTTTTTTTAAAAGATGCAGTATTTTAAGTTATTTAGTCTGGTAACAATTTGAAAGTTTATTTTTTCTTTATTGTGGTGCCCAAAAGTTAACACTTTGTGTATCACCTGCTTCTTGTTGAACTGAATCATTCCCTACATTTATTATTTTAGTAATTTCCAGTATAGTCTTTTAAAGGGTATCTTTAATCTTTGCTTTTCGCATGTTGTATTAGAAAATGTGAGAGATATTCAATGTTGGACCCCAATGATTACAGGTAGTCCTCAGGTTAAGAAAGTCCAACTTATGGAACTTATGCACAACCCACACTTACAAACAGGCAGTCTCTTAATAAAAATAGTAGATTGCATTCTCTTTCCTTCAGCCAACAAACCACGAAGCTACACAACGTTTTCATAAACTCCTGACATCACCACAGCAATTGTGTTTAGAACAATTCCCTTAACTGTATATTTCTTCAATAAATGCAACCTCACTCTTATAATAGAATGAGTAGACTATGTATGAACATTCATTACAAATGCTCATGTATATAGCAAAAGAGTACTCCTTGACAAAACATAGGTCAAACGTTATGCAGATAGAATTAAATGAGCAAATCCAAGACCTGCATGGACAATATGTTTTTAAGCAACAGAAAGACACAATCAGCTTTAATTTTAGTAATCTAAGAAATAAAATCCAACTGTTGCCCTCATAATAATAATTTAAAAAGTCAAATTAGCAATCATTAGCTAACATATCAGATCAGTAGAACTGTCATTATGGGACATGGCAACTCACCTTATTGTTCCAGTGATGTACTATAGATTGTTAAAAGTTCTTAAGAATAACTGTTTAACCTATTAATTGAACCTTTTAATTAATCTATTAAATCCATTAATTAATTTTTAACCTATTTCTGTTCGCTGGCATTTTAGACCTATTTATATTCTGCTACAGCTTCACTTTTTAAACAATCTAACACCTAAACACTTCCCTCATTTAAATACTGTGCATTTCAGAACATTGCTGAACAATTAATAGTGTCCTATTAATTAGTTATTAGTTATTGATTACTGAACAGTTAATACTGTCCTGGATTAAGTGCTGCTTTGGATCTCATTTAGCAATTATTAACATACGCAAAAGCCAAGGGCCTCCAGATATCAGCAATATACAGTAGCAACTGGTCCTGTAGCAATTGATACCACATAAGCAAATCTGAAAAAGCTGAACTCTTGTTCACTCCTTTCTATTTCTGCTGCTCTGACTGCTGTCAAAATTCCGGGCCCGTAGCTGCTACTCTGCTGGAGGAAGAATAAAAGATGGTGGTGGTAGGCAGGGTAGGTGAGCAAAATGGGCTGTGGCAGGCTTGAGAGACTAAGGAGTGTGGGGGCCACTTTGTACAGAGGCAATCACTGTGACAACCAAAAATGAGCCAGATAATAGAATGGAGAATTGGTTTGTCAAGGCAGACCAAAAATATGGGGTAACTAAAATGCCCAGGGGTTGAACCACACAGTTTCAAAACTCATGATTTGAGCATTAATTCAACTGATGGTTGTTCTAATGTAAATAAAACTAAGATAACTAATCAGCTATTTTAGAGGAAGAAGTACAAAGTCTAACACTGGCTAAGTGTCAATTACTTAGTTCTGCTTCATTTAACAGGATATACATACACCATATATACATACCATAATTAAATCAATCATACTTAATGTAAATGAGCATAATGTAAGAGCTATAAATACTGAATTATGGAAAAGTGTGTTTAGGCTATGAATTGCATCCAAAATATTCTTTTAAATCTTCACTGCACTGAATTACTAATCAAATTCTTTGAACAATTTAAATCTCAAACAGTCTGCTGGCAGCATAGGAGCCACAATCTGTCCCAAATTATATCTCTCATGTGCTTCCCCAAAATTACCTAGGGACATTTCAGTCACAGAAGCTGAAGTACCTGATTACCCATTTCAGACAGTTATTAAGAATGGATGGATACTAAGAATCACTAACAGACAAAATAACCATGCTGTGTGAACCCAGGTAAACTATGAGACTAGAATCTATTACATCAGATTATAATAATACACAAATTAATGAAACATCTAATTAGAATTCTGAATGTATAACTTCTTCCTTTACTTACTTCATACCGATTAATATACTTTAATTCCCCATTATGTAAAGCTGCAGTTAGACAATTAAGTGAGACTATAAAAATTTGGAATGAATATCCAACAAGATTAATGAAATTGATCTGAAATTGGCTATAACAAGCTAGAGTACAGAAACCCTATTTGTCACAGCCAGAACACTCACACAGAGAAAACTGTTCATTTTCAGTTATTAACAAAACGCAAACTCACAATTTATATTTATTAATGAACATTCTAAAGCACAATGCCGGGCTGTTATTTAAAATGCAGTCAGTCAACTGCATGTACCTCTTTCAAGCTGTCAATATTGTACACATCATTCAATCTTATGTGATGAGACCCAAATTACAATCCACAAACCCGGGTGGTTATCAAATGTTTAAATTGATAAGATATGCTGACCAGCTGCCAAAAAATTACAACAGATTTATATTTACAGAGACTTACTTTTCGCCCATCACTTGCATGGCAATTCACATTTAAAGGTGTCAACAAAGCCATTAGTTTTTCTTCATTGCCACTCCTGCAAAGAAGAAATGGAAGGGAGAGGAAGTCCCTTACAGAACATATGAAATGGAGTTTCACATTAACATCATGTTCACAATCCACCTTGTGTGCATTTTAACTTAGAAAAAAATTGCTTCAATTATTTCCTTTAAATATATGCCTATATAAACATATATGATAGAATAATTTACCATATTTTAAATATAATAAATATACATTTCCCAAATTGTTGCAATCTTCCTCAAGCCACTATAAATAGCTTTCAGCCTCTCGCTCAAGCTTTTCTATAACATAGATGTAAATGAAGAATCCATAAGGTAGAGGATTAAAAAAAAATATCCTAACATAAAATTTCTCATTAAAAATGCTTTTTAAACAATAGAATTTGAAATGCATTCTGTCTAAATTTGACTGTAAGTGTATTGTAGAATTACAAGCAACTATTTAGCTTTCTGCAAGTAGTTAAATCCAAAAGACTCATGTTAACTGCTTATCTGCCCAATTTTATAAAAAGATAATGACAACATGACAGATCATAAAAACCCATTTTCACCCTGATTTCTCCCACCTCTCTTCAAAAACAATACATTTGTATTCTGAACAGCACTTACCTAGCAGCTTCCAAGAGTTCGTCCTTCTTGTATTCACCTAAATGATTGCAAAATATCATGCTGTTAGCATTTGGCAGAAGACAGATGAAGAAATGCAGCAGGAAGCAAATACAGAATTAAACAGAGAACAGGAGGGGGGGGCAACAAGCAAGCCCACACCCCGCTGGGTGATGGAGCTGTGACGTTAGTCAGCTTGTGAAGGCAGCATCACCAGTGCCTTGGAGACGGGCAGCAAATTGACGCAGCTTCTTATCCAATCCTCAGATGAAATGGCTTTCTTCAGACAACCAATGAATGCTGAACCTCTGTCCAGAAACAATCCCTCTGATACCAGCATGGCAGCTGAGTACAGTGTCTCCTCCCCCATTTTTCCTATTCAATCTCTTAGCACACTAGTATAGCATAAAGGCACCGACACACCCCAAGACTTTTTTTTAAAGGTACATATAATAACCATTTGTAGCCTCAAAATTATCTTGCAATAGATTTATTTCAGAGGTTATTAAAACTGTGTCCAAAGTAAATGTTTGTTACCTTAAGAGAACTAGTGAACCATAATAAAACATGTGGGCAAGACAAAAGTATTCTGACAATAGCATTTTAAAATCATCCATTAAAATGGTTGTCTGTTTTCATATCTTCTGGAAAGAATTAAAAAAATTCATAGTCTGAAATTTAGCTCTATCTCACCACCACGTCACCCACTAAATATCTTTAGTATACTGCCTTTGAAAGTTTTAATATTTTAGTCTTTGAAATCTTTATAAAAATTGTAGTAGATAATTTTGCATTCTATCTAATGGTAAGACATTTCAGAGTAAAAGTTTATGAATTCAAAGAAACAGAATAGTGTTAATAATGGCAACCTGTCTCCAAGAAAGAAATATTAAATGCAGGTGGATTACTCCATTTCTTTTGTGAGTCTTTATGAATGGCAAAGCTTTTATATTCTCCACAGAAGATGCTAAGAAAATGCTTGAGTTGTGAACTACTACAGAACAAGAAAAAAAGGATACAGACAGACAGAAGACCAAAACTGGATCAGAAATTTTTTCTACCCATACATTTAATTAATCGCTGACTTCATGGATCAAATTAATAAATTTTTCAACAAAGATTAAGAGATTGAATAGCCCATTCAAAAGAGAAGAAAAAATGAGAATGCAGACAATATAGGTATTTATGAAATACAATTTTTAAAAGATCATATTAATGTGTTAGAATGTAAATATCAGGTCAAAATCATGTGGTTTCTGGAGGGAACAACAGAGTATTAATATATATTAGGAACTTATCATGGAGCACAAAATTCCAGATGAAACAGAAATATTTTTATTACTAAGGTTTCAAACTGAACAATGGAAATTACAATTGCTTCAATTTATGCTTTAAAAGATAACTAGAGAATATCTTGTGATTTTTTTTCAATTACGTCTTGAAATTGCAAGATATTTTTTGAGTCTTGGAAACATTAACAGGATTCTTCACGGAAATGTCTTTCATACCAAAAGAGTTCTGCAAATTGCCAAAAATATCATAGATTCTATGTCATTACTTTCTTCCTTAGATGTTTAAAGACATAAGTACCCTTTAGAGAAAAATATACATATTGTTCCCCTTCTCTTAACATTAATTCAAGGATAGATATGCACTGGATATTTAATTCGCTATTACTTAAATGTAAAGAAGTTGCAACACTTAATTCCAAATGTAATATTGCACCAAAGAATCACTGACTTGAAAAAGTAGAATTGAATGTCCTATTATTATTACAAAAAGCTATCAAATTGAAGTGTTAACCTTAATTAAAGAGCATCTTCCAAACAAACTATTCACAGTATGGGAATCTAGTAAAGCAGACATGTCAAACACAAGGCCCGGGGGCCGGATGCGGCCTGCGAAGTGGTTTCATGTGGCCCGCGAAGCCATCCTGGAAACAGTGAGGGAACGGCCCCTGCTGCCTTGGCCCTGGCCCAGGCCAGCCGGGAGCCAATGTACAATTTTGTGGTGGCCATCTATGCTGAAACGCATTCAGTCTTAGCTCCACAAGGCCGTCTGGAAACAGCAAGGAACCAGCCCCTGCCGCATCGGCCCCACCCCCTGGGTGCATGCTGGGGAGGTGTCACCCTTTGTGAGGAATGAAAAAATGCACCATTGCCTGGAAGTGGCCAGCAAATGGCCCTCGCCTACTTCACATATCCGGCTTGATGGGCTCTGGGGGAGGGGTTCCGGCAGGCAACTGGGTGCTCTCCTCACAGCGCCGAGAGGCTGAGCCGGGTGGCGCAAATCCCAAAAGAAACGCGAGGCCGCCCAGCTCCCAGCCTGCCCGGTTTCAGCAGGCAGCGGGGCGCTCTCCTCACAGTGCCAAGAGCTGAGCCGGGTGGCACGAATCTGATGAGAAGTGCAATGCTGCCTAGCCCCCAGCCTGCCCAGTTTCAGCAGGCAGCAAGGTGCAAAGCTGGCGAGCTTCGCACCGCCTGGCTCAGCCTCTCGGCGCTGTGAGATTGCCTCGCTGCCTGCCGAAACCGGGCAGGCTGGGGGCTGGATGGCATTGCGCAGGTAACGTTGACTCGCACGCTGCTCATGGCATCCCCTCCCCCAGAGCCCATCAAGCCAGATATGTAAAGTAGGTGAGGGCCATGTGCTGGCCACTTCCAGGCGATGGTGCATTTCTTCATTCCTCACAAAGGGTGACACCTCCCCAGCTGCATTTCTTGCCTGTTTTTCTCCCTCCCTCATCTCAAATATTTCCCCACCACTCTGTACTTAGGAAGGAAGGAAAGAAGGAGAGGGAGGGTCTGAGGGAAGTCCTGCCCTGCTGCCCTTTCACCATCCCCTTGCCCCCTCCTCCTGGCCTATCCCGGGGGTCTCCCATCCTATTGCTAAGGAAGCTTTGGATACAAAGCCGGAGAGGGAATGGGCCTCCCTCTGACTTTGCCCTCGTACCCATCATGAGCAACCTGGGTAAGGAGACCAAACACAGCAGCATCAGCCTTGAGGAGGAGGTAAGTGCAGCTGAGCGCCCCCTTGGGGAAGTGGGGCTGGGCTTGGTGCTGCGGGTGCTCGAGGGCCAGGCTGGGCATTTGATATCTGCTGTCCAGGGCTCCCGGCAGCCCGCACCACCATCAAGCCCCCCCCCCGCATGGCCTGAGAGGAACAGTGAGGCTCCTCCAGTGGACCATGCCTTGGCACTTGCCCTGGTCCCACCCCCTTCTGCCAGAGACCCTCAGATCTGTCCCACTCCTGCCCAGGCTCCCAGAGGCACCCTTGATGCAAATGATGTAGAGCTGGCCACGCCCACCCAGTAGGCCACACCCACTCCATCCACGCCCACCCAGGCCACGTCCACCCTAGCCACACCCACCATGCCCCCCGAGGGCAACCACAATGCTGATGCAATGAAATTGAGTTTGACACCCCTGTAGTAAAGCATTTCTGAGAGATTATTTATTTCTTTGGCATTAAATAGAAAGGAAAACTTCAGAGAGCATTCTAGTCAGTTAAAGAATGTCGCCATCTTTTATTCTTTATTTTACTGGCCTCTTGTTTGTTTTGCTTTATGATGTACTTCTCTTATATTTGTTTTATGGAAATGGATGGATGGATAGACAAATGTTTCAAAACTATCAAAATCAATACAAAACAGAAACCAATACTTGATATTATACAAAAGATTAAAATGATTTATAAACCGCTGGAAGCAAATAAGTTACAAAAAAGTGAATTTCAATAAAGATTTCAAAAAAACTGTTGTTTTACGAAATGATAAAAAGATCTATTACTTCGCTATAGGATAGTAGCAATCTATTTGAACTACTGATGAGATGATACAGCATTGTATTAAATTTAATTCTCAAATATATGAAAAACCAACATAAAGTTTGAAAGAGATTACACAGTACTCAGATGCTGATTATGAAATGTACACATCATCAAAAGGAATCACTTAACAAGGCTACAGTATTACAGAAAAAGAAACACAAAGGAAGCAATGCTCTCCAGGACCAGATGCATTTCCACTGCATTTTTGTGCAGTGAAAAATTTTAAAATGAAGTTTTAACCATTAACTAGGGTTCTTCTTCTTCCATATATAGATCAAACTTTAAACTGCCAAAATGAAGCCACATGCTTGGCTCTGTCACTGGCCAAAAATAAGTCATTATCGGTACATGTTTCTGGAAGTAGATGACATACCAGCAGATGGGGCAGGGCTCTGTGTATCCCCATATTCACATAGCATGTTGTTATCCACTAAGAGCCTCCACTTGAGCATATCAATTTTACACTTAGGCACTCCAACTCAACCTATTCAGGGTCCTCCAAGTAGTACAAGGGAGGTCAAATCCTTCAGCCATATCCTCCTTTAATATTATTCCTTGCTCAATAGTCTCCTTCCTCCATCTTTTAATGTGATTTTGTTTTGTGTACTCTCAAAAATGTTTGTTCTTGCTATAAAGCTGTTCCTAGATCGAGGGCTTGGAGGATATGTCCATTAAAAGGATGTCAAGGATCATTCTCTTACTTAGTTCTCTTGGCATTTGCTGCTACTTCTCGCCTGATCTTAGGTGGGGCAATGCCAGCAAGAGGATATATTTTCTCAATTGGAGTAGGTTTGAGACAACCTGTCACTAAGCATATTGCTTCATTGAGGGCGATATCAACTTGTTTCATGTGTGCAGATGCGCCCCACACTGAAGCAGCGTACTCTGCTGCAGAGACATTCAAGGCCAAAGCTGATGTGTGCAACATAGATGGTTGAACTCCCCGTGTGTAGTTTATCAATTTCCTGATGATATTGTTCTTCGAGCTGACTTTAGCCTTAGTGTTACTTAGAGATAGGTTGATCATTTGTATATATGTTATACAATATTGGAGACAATACACTTCCTTGTGGCCAACTGTTATTCTGCATCATCCATCTACTGGGGTTGGACTAGGTATCTTCCAAGATCCCTTCCAACTCTGTTACTGTTAACTATTACTATTACTGTTGTCATTCAGGGTCACAGAAAATTTCCAGTTTTGGAGGAAGCTGC